AAACCTAATGCACTAGTTCCAGTTTCCAAACCAATAAAAGCTAAATGGTTGTATAAATAGGAACACCACAGGTGTTCTGCTGAGCACAGGCCACCACAAATAACAATTTATATTGTGTGAAGCATAGCTGGAAATATTGGTAATAGAAACTGTGGTACAGAAGGTTAACAACACGCCAAGTGGGTAAGACTTAAAGCTCTTAATAATGACCAAAAAAAAAGTGTCTTTTACAAAAAGCCTTGGAAAAAACAAGCTTTGAAATTCATCAGCAGTGCTTTTTAATGGGTGAGGTTTCCAAAGGTCCCGAGGAGATACTTCAGTCTCACCAAGCTTCAATGGCAGGTGGACATGGTTCCCTGAGATGTTTTGAAGCATCGTGCGAATTTCTCCACATCTCAGTTTTGAAGGGTTTCGAGGCCAGGAGCACGTCAGCATTCGGCTTTGAGTAATGCTATGTGCAAACCGATGCTGGAAATACTCAGCGAAGGGGCTCCAGGTGTCACACCACGTCTCAGCAACAGGCGAGGAGCCACGTGCTGACCTGAGCGAGGCTGCAGCCCTTTGCACCCCCGCGGGTTTGCCCCCAAGCCTCTTCCTCAGTATTTTTATCATCCATATTTGTGTTGGTCCCGGGGAGGGGTCGCAGCCAACTCACGTGGTGAGATGATGCTGCAGTATGCAGGTGTGGATGCTGTGATGTGGTTATGACTTGGGGACACATTTCCCCGCACGCCTCGCCGGTGGTCCCTGGCTGCCAGGAGAGTGGGAGCTGTGTGGGGGCTCACCCCCAGCCCGCCCCGCGTCCGGCAGCACGGCGTCTAATCAAAGAAAGGCTGCCTGCTCTGGGATGCCTCCCAGCTCATCGCTGGCATTTCCGTGATTGACAAACAGGCAAAAATATATTTATTCAAGGATTATCTATATTGAAAACTGGACGCAGGATTTTGTCTCTGTAAATAGTGCAGTAATATCTGCTGTTTGAACAAAAGGAACGGTATACTTTCCTTCCATTTAAAGCATTAAAAGCTCCCATATTTAAGTGAAAAGGGGAGACATTTGGTTTTATTGATCCTGCTTGCTGAAGATTCTGGGTTTTTTAAATAAGATCTGTGACTAAGGGAGCAGTGGGTTGATTTTCGCTTTATTGGAAGGGTTATTACGAAGCGCACAGCGTAGAAGTTATTAGAGAGATGCGTGCCCTTGAAAACAGCCCTTAAAATCTTGCACAATTAGGAAAATTCAGAATGATCCAGCATATTTCCTCATAGCGAGAAAAGTCACTTTGATATATTGAGGACCCAAAATGTAACACTGCATTGCTCTGAATAATAATTTTATTTTGAAAAGCTACATTTGAAGAAAGCACTTTGTTACAGATGGGAACACAGCTACTTTCATGGACCTAAATTAGGCTACAGAGAAATAGCTACTTCGAAAATGAACACCCTTATTGATAGTTTCACTGTTGCTCAGACAGATCCTTCCCTATCCTCCACCTACAGATAATCTCATAGTTGTTCAGATCTCAAAGGACTGAGTCAGTACATTAGCCATGTGTGTTGGTCAAGGGATGAACAATACACAAGATAAAAGACCTTCCCCCAAATATTTGTCAGTTAAATCTGTTGTTTATGCAAAATACTGAACTGGCTGCTCTCCAAGGTAGGTCTTTTTATCCACAGAGCAGAAGCAGAATGAGTAAATGAAAATTTCCCCCATCATTAACGTGCCTTTACTGTGCTCTGAAGGACAAGAGCAGCAGCACAAAGGCCTCATTTTGGCCAGCTCAGCACAGGACCCCTCTTTTCCTAGGACTTAGTGGGACTCATGCATGTGCTCGGGGCTGCTTTCCAGAATGAGACAACTGGCCAAACACTTTGCCAAACCTAGGCTGGACTTGAAAGCAAAGTTCCTTCTCTGTTTTTCATCCCTCTTCTCTGAATGGATGCTGCCAAAACAGTGCTGTGTCAAACAGGGAAGTGGCCAGTGTACAGGTGACAGTGCTGTCACCCTCATCCTGTTTCACCACCATCGTGGTGGACACCAGCCTTGGCGTTGCTCAAGGAGACCCCACAGGAGTCCCCACCAAATATTGCCTTCTCGGTGTCAGCATCTTTTCTGATTTCTCTGTCCTTCCTACCATAGGACGCTTCTGGGACAGTCTTTTTTTACACCACCTTCTACCCATCAGGCATGGCTTGCTCTCGTGCCCTGTATTCTGTGTTATGTTTCTTCTCCCTTGTTTTTTTGGTCTGGCCCCTCCTTCCAATTTGTCTTGTAGCTACTTGAAGTCAAAACCCACCATGGCTGATATACAAGCTTCATTGCCCCCTACACCTGCCTGGGTCTTCTTTTGGGATGGGAAAACAGGGTTGTCTCAAGGAGCAACTATTGTATCCAGAAGCCATGGACGTTAGCTCTGCCTCCGAATAATACAACAGACTTCAGCAAATCATACTGCCTTTCTGCCTTGATTCCCCAGGCTATATAAAAATGGGGGTTTACCTCACAGCAGCATTATGAGAATTAATTCACGTTTATGAAATGCTTTTAACACAGAAGAGATGACCTGATCATGCTTATACTATGATTTCCAATAATGTAATTCCATTGACATCCGAATCTTTTTTTACACTAGGATGAACATGTTCAGAATGAGGCAGAGAAATATCTCTAAAGAAAAGGCAGGTTCCTTGCAAAGAATTTAAATTAAATAAACATTATTACCTTGTAATTTATGATCTGAACACAATCCCCTATTTTGGTAAATAAAGCTCAGATGATTTCTTGTGATGTGCATATTGTTAAAATTCAAATATTGTTCAACATACGTTGTTTTTCTGTTTAGTTGGTTTTTTCTCTCCTTCAATCAAATACAGAAGGGTTTTTTTAAGGAAATGTCAAATGTTGAAAACAACACTGATATCTTACAAGTTTCCATCTGGACAAAGATATCACTGTCTAATTTTTTTATTCGCCTTAGAAGCTGGTCAGAGGCATAGTACTGTCAGCTAAACTCAGTTCTATTTCTTAAGCTTGCATTATTAATTTTGCATCATGATAAGATATTTACTCAAAGAGGCAGCTAGTTCTTTCCTTTAAAAGTGATGTTATTTGCAGGAATGACCACACTTTTTTTTTCCCAAATGAAGTTATGCAAATCTGATCGACTAAAGTAAATGTTTCATAAAACCAATGACTGTTTAAATTGTGGGACTAAATTGTTTGTATATAAATATTACCTTTTATATTCCATTTGAGTTTTATGTAGATGAACACATTACTTTAATGACCTGCGTTTACAGAGGGAGACAGGGAGAGTCTGACTCTGAAATCCTCAGCAGCCAGATGGCTGCCTTTTCTTGCATGAGATTAAAAGATGTTTCTCATTCACAGCCCTGCTTCGGAGGCAAATTAATATAGCCAGCTAAATTGCTTGTGTTTTTGGAATAAAATTTAAAGAGAACTTTTTAAAGCAATTGGTGTCACAGGTTCCTAGAGCAGATTGCTCTCCAGGTACAGCATGCTGGTTTTAAACATTCAGTAATTAATGGAAAGTATTCCGTGTTAATTGACTGCTTCAGGAAAGGGAAATATAATGACTCCTTATTAATCATGAAAAGAGACATACAGCATGGAGGCACTGCAATAATTGCACTAACGGTTGAGAAATGTTAATTAATGAAAAGAACAATGATGTAAGAAATTAGCTACATAATGCTTGCTGCTGATGGAGATTGTGCTTTAAACACATTATTTAGCATGGCAGCCACTGGATGCTGCCTTAAATAGCAGGCACCTCTTACCCTTTCCTTCAGTCAGCTACGGACTTCCAAATGTTGCCCGTGTTTTGTTTTTTAATGAGCCAAAAGACACTCTCCCAAACTACATTTTCTGAAGCGTTTTCAGTGTGAACTCCTGAACTCAAAACTATTCAAACAGATTGACAGCGTTTGACTTATATAAAAATATTACTCAAGTGTAAGAGAGCATATTAACGTTTGTGTGGTGGGGAACAACTTCTTGTTAGATGGGCTGAGCTAAATAGGCTTGCCAAGAAGACAACTGCATCATGACTTCTTTCCCCTTTTTAATTTTTCCACTTTTTAACCAATTACCTGTCCCCTGAAGAATTTAGAGCGAGCATCCTGTCATATTTGTGCCTAGCATGATGTAAAAATTCATAGAATATGAAAATGCAGAACACTTCTGGCAACTAATCCAAGAGCAGGGGTATGGAGCTGACAGTCATTAACAGATTGAGGGCCCCAAGGTTCCACCATCACTCTGTTGCACCTTTAAGGCAGCAACAGGGTGAGACACATCAGTCACTCTGAACACTTCAGAGCAGGTCAAACTATTGGTTACAAATAAATTGCCTAAAACTGTAGCTCTTCAGGATCTGGATTTGATTCTTCTTCTTTGATTCTTCATACCTGCATGATCATTTGCGCAAGGAAATGTCAGCCTGTGAGGCTTCGAAAATTATTCACAAAAATTTTGTGGGAATTTTGGCCACCCAAGTCACATGTTCTCTTGGCTGTGTAGCTAGGGGATGGTAGCAATGTACAACAAACGGTAAATAAAGGTAGAATAACAAAAGCACTCATTTTAGCTCTACCATTGCAAGCATAAAATTATAGATGCAGAAAAAAATTGGAGTTTTGCTAAAGACATGCTAAATGAACGTTCATCAAGCACAAAATGCTTTTATAAAGAATAGCTCTCAACAGGAGGCCACTGTTTGTAATGACACAAGACAGAAATACGTCCCCTAAGTCAGTGGCCTCACAGTAATCTAAAACCATCGTAGAGGGGGAGTCAGTCCACAGGTATATAATAACCCAACAGTGCTTCCTGCATCATAAGACAGGGACAGGAATAGTTTCATCCCTCATCCCTCCAATTCATGTGCTGGTCTTTGCTGATTTTCCCTGAGCAGCTCTCTTGTGGCCATTCCTCCACCCATGTGTTTTATTGCTCCTGAATTTCTTTTCCAGATGGAACATCCTTGGGCTCCAAGGTGCTCTCCTCAGCTCCTTCATCGAACCCATGTACTTGCACAGCATCATTGTGGGAAGCCTCTATCACACTGGTCACCTTTCCCGGGTAATGAGCCATAGAATAGAAGACATTGGTCAGCTGCCAGCTTCATACCGGTGCAATCAGCTGCTTCTCAGTGGTAAGCTAACACCTGCCTGCAAGACAAATGATCCCCTCTCCCATCACTAATTGTACTGGTCACCAACAGGCAAGTTTACTTGTTTGTAAGTAAACCATTAGCTCATGCCTTCTTTTTTTTCCTGCAGAATATGAATTTGTAGAATCAAGAAAATGATGCATTTAAATCCAGTTCCTTTTTCATATGCAGTGACCACAAAAAAGATCAGTAGTGGATATAAGCTGACTAGGAAAACAAACACTGTACAAAGAATGCTCGAAATGGAAAAAAGTGCATGACTAAGTAAAAGATTTCTAAAAACTAGGGAGGAAGTTTTCAGTAAGTTTTAAGTTTAACTCTCTCCCCCAGCGAACTCACGAATGTGCGGAGTCAGGAGCACCAGCCCTCACATCTCTGGCGCTGTGCATGCAGCCCCCCCACTCGGAGCCCCTGCTCCCTCACCACTTGCTAGCCGTCGTGTTTGGAGCAGGTGGCCATAAGAAAAGGGCCATTTGTTCATGCAGGAGACCCTGCCTGTTCAGCAGACTTCAGGGAGGCATTGCTGCCATCTGACGAGGCTGCTGCCTGTCACGTGAGCATCTCCGTGGTTTCCAGATATCTTTTGGGCTACTCTCACTGAAACCGCTTCTCCTTCCCAGCCCCTGTCCCTACGCCAGGTCTCTGGTCCTTTCTTCTCCATCCCCCTGACTCCCACTTCCTCAATTCCCAGCCAGGCAGCAGCTGTCCGGCCTCATTCCAGCAAAATCCCAAAAAGTCTTGAATGCCTTCAGATCCTCATGAGGCATGTGAGTGCTAACGGCCACCAGTTCTGCACAGGACTATTATTTTACTCTTAGTCTCTGCTAATTGTTCTTCAGGAGGATTGCCTGAGACACCAATACGATGTCAGGTTACAGAGTTGGGAGGTCAGGATGCTCTAGAAGAGCACACCATTGCCATTCAAAGTCCTCTAGGTTCCTCAGTCAGGAGAGTGCTGTTTTATCCCTTTTATCTATTTCATGCTCTTTTTTTTTTTTTTTTTTTTTATGTGTCCTTGTGACAAAATTAGTTTGGCTGAGGCAGAAGTGATAGTTTAGCCACTGGGGAAATTCTCAGGTTCTGTGTGGTTTAGTACATCTGGCAAGCGTAATGTGCATGTGTGTGTTATGAGGTGAGTAGGTCAAAAGGCTTATCCTTATGATAAGGACAGTTTTTTTAACTCTTCAGTGCAGCTAGCCAACGACTGTGCAATGCAGGTATGCAGGAAACTGTGCTCCACACTCCTCCCCCACCCTATGTCCCCTCCTGTCCCTCCTGCCCTGGTCCAGCATCGGCATGACTCAGGGCCCTCTTCCTTCCCATGCCACATCGTGGGAGGGAGGAAAGGGCTCGTGGCTGGTCTGGAAAACTCTCCCCATTTCCCAAACCTGGCTGTTATTTTGACAACACACCCCTGTCTGCCAGAAGCCTCTGCATCTCCCACTGGGGAAATGGATCTCATCCTGTGCCAGCCCTAACTCATTATAAGTCCACCCATACATTAAGATCAAAGTCACACCCACTTTCACTGTGTCTGCAGGATGTACGGGGAAACCCACTTGAACTGCTGAAGGACTGAAAACACAGTAAGTGATTTAATAAGAGATTTAGCCACAGAACAGCTATTGCTTTGCTGGATTGGCCTTGAGGAGTAAAAGTAATGGCCCATACTTGGCCCAAATGTGTATTTATGTCCAAGAGTCACTGCCAGAGATTTCGGGGGAGTTAGAAATCCATCAGAGGGACCCTTGTGTCACTTTAAATATCTGCATGTTTCATGGCTGGCTTCCTCCTTCCCGGAGACTTCTGTTTGGAAAAGCTTTCACTTCGCTTTTGGTTGTGTTTGTGGGTTTTCTTCAGCCCAGGAGAAACACTGGGAGGAATCTGTCTCTCTCTGTCTACATTGGTTTTGTCTCTAAAGCCATTATTTGTAATCTTCTCTCCCCCACAAACCCCAGGGAGCCAATACTGCTTAAAGCTTACATTGCTGAGGCTTGTGCTTCGTTTCTCTTTCCTGGAAAACTGTGCCGACAGCACACCCAGTGACTAAGGAGATGGGCACCTAGCAAAAGCCATACCGAATGCTTTAGAGACCAAACCTCAGCAGTCTCAGACAGGCAACTCCACCTCCCACACTCGCCTCAGAGATCAGGCCAGCCGGGGTCTTCAAATTGCAGGAGTCCTTCAATTATAAGGATGCCAATTATGATTCAAACATTTCAATGGAGAGGAGAGTCATGGTGTGTGATGAGATATCCTGAGATAACACCTTGGCCCCACAGAAGAATAATCAGTGAGGTTTTACACTCACACCAATCCCAGCCAGATGGAAATCTACTCATTCACTGGGATTACTCTTGGGTGTATTTTTTAGAAGAAAGAAAAGCCCTGTGTCATTTTTATTTCCTGTTGTCTTAAGATTGAGGCCATTCTAAAGGGTATCCCGAAGAGGCATGAGGTGTTGCTAGGAGAGAGAGGAAAATGAGGACAGCGTTCTGTTCATATCCTATAATACTCAAATTCATATTATTTGTACATAGACTTTTCTTTTCCTTCCAGTTTCTGCTGGGGCCAGGTCTCCTATTGTACTCTTTGTTGTGTCAGTTTTAAGGAGGATGTTTTACATAAAGGAGAGAAAATTATCTAGATTATTTGGGTGTTACCTTTCAAATAAAATCAGAAAAATTATTTGTCAAAAGAAAAACATGAAAAAAAGTGTTTAAAAAGCATCAGAAACAACAAGCAGAGAATATATCTAGGCTCTATATTTGCATCTGTCACGAGTCTCATTTTTTATCTTTAAAGCCTCTTCTCTTGCCTTTGGAAAATGATGTGAAAATATCTTCTACTTACCTAAATATATGTATTTATATATGTTTGCTGGGAAGAGAAAGCATGAAAGCCAAACCAGCACAGAGGGTTTTCCAGGCTCTGGGGCAAGCTCTTGGCTCTCACGGTAGTCCACCGAGAGCAGAGGGAGGTCCCAGGCTGGGCAGGGGTGTACAGCCCCCATCTCATGGGCACCCACAGCCTGCTCTGCCCTCCGTGCAGCCTTTTCTTCTCTTCCTCTGGTCAGTGTTTTCACAACATTTTTATTTATTTAGTGCCCTGTGGCAACTTTGCACGGCAGGGTGTTTGCTATTATGCTTTTGCACTCAAGTCCTCTAAGCTTTTGGGTGCTATCTCGACAGAAAGTGGTGCATAGTGTCAAACAGCTGATTTTGATCTGGTTGCATCTTGTTCTGTAGAGAGGCGTTCCAACAGCGCCAGAGAGCTATCTGATTTTCAAGCTCTCCGTTTATATCCTGTTGCCTAGGTGAACTGGAGTTTTAGATGCAGACTGATCCGTTATCTCGGGGGGCGGGGGGGGAATTGAAAGAGGTATTAATACGACATGAATGTGTTTACAAATCCTGGGTGAGGTTATGACTTAGCAGTAATTCTCTTCTACACACAGTGGCGAGTTCAGAGATGATTTCTGCAGTTCCAGCTCTGCCACCGATACAAAGTTGTTGTGCTGTGTAATTTTTCCCCTTCAACGGCCACCTTCCTCTCTCTGTGTGTGCTCAGTCCCATCTGACTCTTGCGACTCCCTCCCAGGGCAGAGGGCACCACACTGGAAGGAGAAGAAGGAGCGTGTCCCTCACCAGCATTGCTTCCCACGATGCTGAGAGGCCCCAGGCAGGAGGCAGGAGCTGCCTGCAGAGGCAGCGTCTCTGCTCCGGCTCCCCTGCACAGCCCTCCACCTCTCCCTGGTCTCGTTCAGGGACTTACCAAGCTCAGCATGTTTAAATGCCGCGATGGATGCCGGGTTCCCACTAGCTCCCATCTCCTCCCGTTCTGCCTGAGATCAGCAGATCCTTATGGTGTGCACTTTGGAAAGGATGGGCTTTGATCTCTCTTCTTTAATCTCCTTCTCTCTGAACAGCCCGTATCAGCACTTCTCCCTCTCGGCAAAATTTCTTTGAAACCCTTCAGCGGAAAATGCAAAGGACCTTTCTCTGTTGCCGTCCACCCAGGAGCAATGAAAGCAGGTCCCCATCAAGCTGTGCAAAGCATGAGCTCTTGCTGGAGCTGCTGCAGGCAGGGACTCCAGCGGGAGCTGCCGTTTGGAAACAGAGATCCAGCCCTGGCACCGGCCTGTGCCGGGGAGGCTGTGCCAGGCAGCCCCTGCCCACCACCACGGTCCCCACCTGCCTGCTCACCACAGTGGTGTTTGCTGTCCAGGTTTGCAGGCTAGTGGCCCACACAGCAAATTAGTAAAGAGGGACTTAACAGCTGGATCCAGACACATCATCCAGTGCCCACATTTTCCAAAATATTCAAACTGCTTCAGGTCACTCTGTCTTTTCCAGCCTTGGAAGCTCCCAGTGTTGATTCTTTGCTCCCAAAAGCACTAATGAGCAGGGCAAGGCAGAGCTCACTTTATTGCATCTATCCTATGCTGGAAAACAAACCAACCGCTTTCTTTATTCCTCTTATTTCCTTGCAAAGACTAATCCTTGCCTGGTTTCAGGTACAAGAAATGAGAAAGTGACAGAAGTCATGGAAAGGTTGAACTACGCTAAATGGTTAAGAAAAGACAGGAATTTACCTGATTAAAAATAACTCTCTCTCATGTACACACCGACACGTGACCTTGCAGCCCTGATCTGCATTTAGAGCCAAGGGAGATCTCACCCATAGAATCATAGAATCATAGAATAGTCTGGGTTGGAACGGACCTTTAAAGGTCATCTAGTCCAACCCCCCTGCTGTGGGCAGGGACATCTTCAACTAGATCAGGTTGCTCAGAGCCCCGTCCAATCTGACCTTGAATGTTTCCAGGGACGGGGCATCTACCACCTCTCTGGGCAACCTGTGCCAGGGTTTCACCACCCTCATTGTGAAAAATTTCTTCCTTATATCTAGCCTAAATCTACCCTCTTTTAGTTTAAAACCATTACTCCATTAGCAACAGGCCCTGCTAAAAAGTTTGTCCCCATCTCTCTTATAAGCCCCCTTTAAGTATTGAAAGGCTGCAATAAGGTCTCCCCCGAAGCCTTCTCTTCTCCAGGCTGAACAACCCCAACTCTCTCAGTCTTTCTTCATAGGAGAGGTGTTCCATCCCTTTGATCATTTTCGTGGCCCTCCTCTGGACCCGCTCCAACAGGTCCATGTCTTTCCATGTAGGCAGTGGACTCCAGTATGTGATTCATATGTCCAAAACTGGCCATGTGAATGACACAAAGGTCATGCAGTCACACCAGGTGACCAAAAACATATTCATTGTAGCTGTCTAAAATTAAATGAGACGCATTCCACTTAAAGATATCCAAAATATTGCTGTTAGGACACTAGCTAGCTCCTGAAGAGATTGTTGCACCCATACAGGGTAGGAATCTTGCAGGCAGACACGAAGTGGGGAGCAAGAGTTTTTTGTGTGGTTCTGTGATGTCTACAGGATCATTATTAATTTGGATCTAATAAACTCTCTGTGATGATGAAATGTATGTTTTATATTTTCTTATCCCCCATTTGTACCCCCTACAAGCCAGAGTTCCCGTCACAGCAAAGGCCCCAGCAGTTAATAGCAGATAAATACACTGGACCATGGAAACCTCACCTGGAGGAACTCATGGCAAAAGCACTTTGCTGCTTAGTTCCTTTTAAAGACCAGTTATCCCATTAAAGCCTTTCTGAAAGATTTCACTCAGCAACCGTAACAGTGCTGTCAGTACCACGTGTTACAATCTAATGGCTTTCCTCAGGCTAACAAAAGGTTTGCCTGCAAGGTGGAAAAAGATCTATAGGAATTGCTAAATTATGTCTCTCTAAGGTACTCAGACTGGTAACATTTAACTGATGGTGACAACAGCATGTGCAGTGCACAGTGTCAGCGTGTTTGCTCAAGGAAGTCTCATGTGCCACAACAACCCACCACATGTTAACAGCCTCTCAAGATTTTGAGCGCTGGATGTTACCGGTGTCCTTCTCTCCTGCCAGGGGTTAGCCATGCTGATGCTCGGCAGCCTGGAAAATCTCCCAGCTTCAGTGTGAACTGGATTGTGGGGAACACCGACCTGGAGGTTATCAATGCCACGACAGGGAAGAGAACCTGCGGGAGTCCCTCACGGCTCTGCAAGCACATGTTATTCACTCGGTGGGCAAAGCTTCATGGCAAGGTAGGTCTGATGCACTGACAGGACGCTGCCGCCAGCCCTAGGTGGGCTAGTCCTTGCCCCAGAGTCAACCCTGTTTTAGCAATCTCATGATGAAGCTGCAGGCTCCACAGGTGCCCTCTGGCCCTCCCAGGAGCGGGGAGGAACAAGAGCTGAGAGCCTGCGGGGTCAGCTATGGGAGCTAAGAGTCCAGAGAAAGCCAAGGGCAGAAACCCACGTGGGTTTGGAGGGGAGATGGGTGTTCTGGCTGTCCTTGGAGATGGAGACATGCTCAGATGAGCAGTCAAAAGCCAAGAGAGTGTTGAAGTGTCCATACAAGCACAACCAGGTAATTTTTTATGCATCTCACCCCACGTGTCCCTTTGACTCTAAGGGGAGTATTCAATTCACTAAGTCTTAGAGGCCTGAGGGAAGTATTTCTCATCACCTTGGAGGCATCTACCTCACTTCATCGTTCCACAGGGGTTTAGACTCCCAACATAAACCGCTCCCAATCTCACCCAAGTTAGCTGACTAAAGCAGGTGCTATGCATTGCCCACTGCCCTCCTCTTCCCCACTCTCCCAAATGGGCTCATAAATCCATACGATACAGCTGCTCCTTACAGGGTGAGCGGTGGGGTGCTGAAGGCTCTCCAATTTCATTACAGTCAGCAGCAGTACAATTTAATGACATTAAAACTACAGGTTGTACTTAATTAAAATGGCCACCACCCCTTGACAGCCCTGCTTTCTCTAGGGAAGATGGCCATGGACTCCCCTTATTTGAAATGGCACCGAAGTCAACCTGCCCTCGTACTTCACTTCACTTCCCACAGACAGGAGACAGTGGCGGACAGATGGATGGCCAAAAACTACATAGGTGGAACTTATGTAGGATATATAGGAAGAAGTTTGATGTGGAATAAGGAATTTTTCCTCTAATTATTCCTGATTCTGGAGTCACCATTTCTCCTCTTGCCTGACCCTTCAAAGAGGTGCCGGGGGAGAGGAGGACACAGATACCAGGGTGGTGAGCCTGACCCCACCACTTCCAGGAGGAGCAGCAGGGAAAATGCAGAGTGTCTCTTCAGCCCACCTACTTTCACTGCTAGAATATTAATTTGCTATAAGGAGGCTTGTCAAGAATTGTCCTGCAGTCCATGTAGAGTGGGAGAAGACGAGGACAAGAAAAAAGTATTTTATTAAGTGCCAAAACCTTTTTACTACTGGGAAACGTGTGGAAAAGAACAAGGCAGAGTGATGGCAGGGAAATCTGGAGCCAATTCCACCAATGAAGTCATTTGGGAAGGCAAAGGGACAGGCAGGGTGGGGAGGTATGAGGACAATTGTCCTGCAGTCCATGTAGAGTGGGAGAAGACGAGGACAAGAAAAAAGTATTTTATTAAGTGCCAAAACCTTTTTACTACTGGGAAACGTGTGGAAAAGAACAAGGCAGAGTGATGGCAGGGAAATCTGGAGCCAATTCCACCAATGAAGTCATTTGGGAAGGCAAAGGGACAGGCAGGGTGGGGAGGTATGAGGACAAGCCCAAAGGGGTTGTTCTGCTCTGCAGGA